ATTTGCATGACACATTAATTGGTGTATAATAAATCAATGTAACAATATTAATTTTAGTATCTCTTATGTTAGAGCGTATTAAATTGAGATTTGTAAGGATTTTAAAAGATTTTTTATTATAAAAAATATTATGATATTTAAGTAAAACTTTTTTTTAATATAAAAAGAGTCACGTGTTCAATTAAGATAATTAATTTTTTAAGAGTTTATCAAAATTTAATGATATTCAATTAAAATAATCAAACTTTTTTAAAACATGTTAAAATTTAGTTATATTTAATTAATTTTTTTATTGAAAAAAGTATGATGATATTAAAATATATATAAATTTCTATGAATTATTTTGATGAATTTTGTGAAATTTTTTATTTAAATTTATATATAATTTACTCATATAATATTCTCACAAAAATCATTCAATTTTTCTTTTTTTTCATTTTTTTCTCCTTTTTTTTTCTTCTTTTTCTTTTTCCTCTCTCATTATCTTTCTCTCTCTCTTTTTGTTTTTATCTCTTTTCTCATGTTTTCTCTATTTCATATTTCATTTCTCTTTTTGTTCATCTCTCTTATTTATTTCTTTTTTCTATTTCTTCTCTCTATTTTTTCTCATTTTTTTCTATCAATAATTTTTTACATATTTATTTATAAATATTTTTGTATAATTTATCAATATTTTCTTTAATTATAAAATATTTAAAATTATTTTTAAATTATTAAATAATATATATTGTTAGAAATTTTAAATTATTAAAATTTAACAAATGCTTACTTTTAATAAAATTTAATATTGAAATATTAAAATTTTAAACATATGTTAGAAATATATTTTGACAATTCTATTGATAAATGAATATCATAAATTTGAACATATTGTTCAAATTCAATACTATGAATGAAAAAATATAAATGCAGGAAATTATGTCAATAGAGAAATGTTAATTAAAAGAACATAAGATTAGGGATGACAACGAAGTGGGATAGGTATAGACTTTAGTATCCATGTCCTTGTCTTTGTCTCTATTTTCGTACATTATATATATCTTTGTCCTCTCATACCTATCAGGTATGAAGGTTGCATCCTCATTTTTGTCCCTGTCGAGTATTGAGTACATCCATACCTGCATACAAATTAATTATTTTTTTACAAAAAATATAAATAAAAAAATGAACATCATTACAAAATTACATTAATAAATAAAATCCGTCACTAAATTCGTCGCAAAATTTGTTTTTTATTAATGACCCCGTTTGTGACGGAATTGTTAGAGACCGAAATTTTTCCGTCACAAACTCTAAAAATAAGTAGTCCGTCACAAAAATAAAATTTTCGTCACAAAAGTCGTCACTATTAGTGACGACATTTTGTCCATCACAAATTTTCGTCACAAATTTTAATTTTTTTAGTAGTGAGATAAGTGTTTAGCTAAGAGCAAGATTCGACTCACTCTCTAAGTTCGTGTTCAAGTCGTGTTAGAAATGTGTTAAAGTTGTGTCATAGAGGTGTTCAAACCAAAAGAATGATATTTTTAATTTTGACACGATGTAGATGTGTTGAATACATGTCAAACAAGTGTTGTGTCATAAACGAGTTAGACTGTCGACACAACATTTTGTAGATGTATTGGTACTACATAGCTCTTGAGTGATGATGATGTCTATGTCTTCTTTCTTTACTTCAATATTAAGGTAGTAAGAGATGAGACCAATGTTAGTCATCTCAAACTCTTTCATCATCTCTTTCTTAAACTCATCAAGCATGCTTTGATTACTACTTGTAAAGATCAAGTCATATACATTACAAAAGCCCACAATCAAAACATCAATATTTTGATCTTTGATGTAAAATTCATTTTCATATGGCACTTAATGAAGTTTCTCTCATGTAGGTACTTGTCAATTCGACCATTTCAAGCTCATGGAGCTAGCTTGCGTTAACCCATAAAATGCCTTTTTAAACTTTAAGACTTTGGCTTTTTTACCCATCACTTCATAGCCTTGAGGTTGTTTAGTATAAACGATCATCTTTAACGCCAATGTTAAGGAAGACAAATTTTATGTCCATGTGATGTATCATCCAATTGTATTAGGATGCCAATGAAAAAATTAGTCTAATAGCTTCTAGCCAAGAAACGGGATGCAAATATATCATCATAGTCAATACCAATTCTTTGATCATAGCCTTCTACCACTAATGTTGTTTTATATAATTTGACTTTTCCTTTAGCATTCTTATTTGCTTTGTACAACTACTTCACACTAATTGTCTTGTGCCTTTTTAGAAGTGAAACTAGCTCATATGTGTCATTTGTTAATTACTATGATTTCTTCATCTATAACATTTTCCAATTCTTGTTCTCTAGGACTTCTTGGAAGTTCATGGACTCATAATCAATGAATAGGCAAAAGAGATTGAGATTTTCTTGATTTTGAATAATAAAGTTCTTGTAAATTCTTGAAGCTTTGAACTCTCTCGCGTGAGCTCTCATCCACTTGAGAATTTTCAATTTGTTAAGCTAGTAGGGTAGTAGGTTTCTCTCTTGCTTGGTTTTATCCCAAATTTGTCTATTCCATCATCTTCAAAACATGAAAAGAAGTCGTAGTCTTCATCACTTGGTCTCTTATCACATTCTCCCGTCTTCATTGAAAATGACGTCTTGACCAATGATGATCTTCCCCATATTAGGGTTGTAGAGCTTGTAGATTTTGACTCAGAGTCATAATTGATGAAGATATATTTTTTTGTTTTTGTCATCCAACTTGGTTTTTTTTTTAATCATTTGATATGTACACATGAGCAATAATTTTAAATATTATTAGATGTGAAATGTCAAGCTTTCTCCAACTTCATACTTCTTATGATATTTTTCCCCCACACACTCCTTGTTAGAGACTAGTCGGAAAGGTAAACTATTCAAGTCATTTCAACCCCAAAACTCCTTTGGTAATCTCTTTCTCCTAATCACGTTCCTAGTCATGTCTAGGATTGTTCTATTCTTCCTTTTTTCCACTCCATTTCGTTGGGAGGGGGATGGGGTCTCGACATTATTAAGAGACATTGAATTCCATGATCTTCACAAATACTTTTGGAATTCATTTGATGTGACCTTTTTTCCACAATTAGATCTCATGAATTTGATCTCAAAATCACTTTCTTTATAAACAAAGGCTTTGAACTTCTAGAAAATTTTTAACATCTCTAATTTATGCAAAAAATACGCTCATGTTTTTCCTCAAAAATCACAAATGAAGAAAAGGAAACAATTACCCTTACTAAGTGAGCTTGTCTTGATCGAATTGCACAAATCCATGTGTTAGTTCTAGCCGCTTTTGAACTCTTGAGTTAGATTTTTTTAGAAAGATTTTCTTGAATTGTTTTCCAAGTATACATCCTCCAAACTTGATCGACTTGATCCGGGTGACTAATGCAAGGTAATCCTTTCACCATTTTCAACTTTTTGGAGAAAAATTCCAATCCTCCAAAATTGAAATGCCTAAATCAAAGGTTTCAAAGCCAAGATGCATCTAATACACACTTGATACATTTTGCAACATCGTTTTGAATGTTGAGCTAACATTCTATTTCTTGCATTATCTCTTATAGAAAGATTATTGTCTTTTAAGTCTCTCAAAGAATTGTCCCATGCCCAACATATTTCTTTTTTATATTTGACACATAGTAAACTTTTGAGAAGAATTCATTCTTGAGATACCTTTTACCTCTCTAGAATTAATATAATAATTAAAAAGAAATTTTTCAATAAAAAGAAAAGAAAAATTTTCTAAACTTTTATAATATCCTTCACAAAAAAATTCACATTATAACCACTAGTTGGATAATCAAATAAAATCAAAAGCCAATATAGATCCTATAATAAATACTTGACACTCCAAAGGCCATGTCTTTAGACATAAAATGTCACACTTCATTATTACTTTAAATGTGATGTTTCTCTCTCAAGATATGTCCACTCACTAGATCAACAGTGAATAACAAAAAATCTCTAAATACAAAAAAAATGACACACTCCAAAATAATTTTAGTAAAAATATTTCTTTAATGGAGTGATGATTTATCATGATAATATTACTTTATCTCAAGAAACAAAACTATAGAGTACAAAACTAGTAAGAAAACGATAAAATAGAAAAGTAATTAAATAAAAAAATATTTCTTTTAAATTTTAAATTATGAATATATTTTTCTAACGTCAAATTTGACTGGGAGATTTCATGTATATGTTTCAACATGGAATTAGCATGATTTCACTATAGTACCAAACTTAAATATCATCCAATGAATGATAATTAACTTATTTTTTCACATACCCCCAAAATATACTTAGAAATACTGTGAAAAATTTCCCTTCCATGTATCTAGAAAGAATATCATATTGTTGCTAACCTAGCATTTTATTTTATTTTATTTCATGTTCCTTCCCTGACGTGCTTCCTTTGCTTGCATCAGAGCTTGACAACGCAGCTGCCAAATATTCGGTGCATGTGCACCGAACTGAACTAGAGCATTAAATTGGTCAACATTAACAGGGTAAATAGGTAGGGTAGGGTCAAAGGGCTTGATCATTCACGAAAACTAATGATAAAAATAAACGAAAATTGATTCAAGTTAATGAACATATGAAAGGGTCATGTATTCAAGGGAGAGGTTCATGTATCATGAGATCATACATTATACAGATCTTAATATAATGTGTTCCGCAAGTAATAATGGCACGTGACAAGCACATGAAGCCACATGTAGTCCATGTGAATACGAACAGGGTCCACGCCCCATTGCTTCACTATGAATGAAGAATGAGAGGAATCTAAAAGTCCTAAGTGGGACGATTGAACATGTCACAAACCTTTCAAAATCAAACCACGTTGCCTTTTAAGACAGCAAATATTGCAAATTATTTTAATTTTTTAAGGCATATTCTGGAAACACGAAATCTTGCAATGAGATTGCAATCTAAGACTACAAAAGGAAATGGCAAACAAAATCTTACAGTATCGCTCAACCTTAGGAAAAGAGAAGAGTACATCAAAGCAAGATACCGAAACATAGTATTTAATTTAATTAGCCTATGCACTTGATAGCAAAGGAATCATAACATTTGACACACTATTTTTAATCAACTAATCTTACAAGGGAGGGGGAAAACACTATATTATGACAAAGAAAAAGGACAAATTTATGCAAAAAAAAACCCAGCCAGCACACACATCATATGAAGGGAAGTATATTCAACATTCTCCCCCATGTATAATACAAAGTATTGAGGGAAATGTGATTGTTGCTGAACTCTACTATGTTGAAATGAATAATGAGTCAGCTTTGCCTCTAATGATGGCCATGAGGTGGTGGTGCTGCCGCAACATGTGGTGCTGGTGGAGGGCACTGGTAGCATTTAGCAAAAAGCCCAAATGAGTGGATTTGCCTTATGAAGTTGGTCATGCTGGCCCATCCTCCAAGCCCAAATCCAATCACGAAAACCCATACCACAATGAATGCATTGAGGACGTACATTGCAGTCCAGCTTGGCATGAAGAAAGGAGGCTTCTCTGCAGCATTCTGCAAAATAAGAGGGGAAAAATAAAAGGAAAAAAGAAAAAGTTAGATAACTTAGGATGCTCCTAAACTACTGTTGTATTACCCAGAAAAATCCCAAAACAAGGGTCCAGCAATAATGCAAATTTGGAGATTTAACAAGATTTCCAACGGTTGTACGGAGTTAAACTAAGATATCTTGGGAGGCCCCCAAATACTGTGCTCAAATCCATGACATTTGTCACTTTCAACATTTTTATAATAAATTATTTTAAATCCTCTTACAAGGTTTTCTTCTTATATTTAACTCTTATTATTAAATAACAAAAAATAATGCTCTAAGATGAATAACTGGTCTTAAAATGTAAGGTAATTTCAGCCTTTGAAGAAAAAATTAATGATCGATAGTTTTTTATACTACCACATGTATCCTCTAGCCTGCTGAACTAGAAACTAATTTCCCTCACTTTAGTTCAACAAATATTAATTTCCATATCAAAAATTGAAAATATTTATCCCTACTTTCAGTATAGAAGTAAATCTCATATCATTGCTCTCTTCCCAATTTGAGTTATTAGGGTAAGAGATCAGTCAACTCCACCAGCTCAGCAAAGGCATAGTACAATACAATAATCCAACTGTAGCAAATAACTAAAAGAAAATGACCCACCACCAGCCTCAATACTTCTCGTAAATTTCCAAATCCACGCCTTAAATGCGTTTGTACATTTGCTGCTACCGCTCTCTCCCACTCTCACCCCACTCTCTTTCTCATATATGCTTTATCTCTCACTCTAGTTTTTATTTTTTTTAATTTATTCAGATATTCAAACTTAAGACCTTGTTCACACCACTATAATTTTTTTTCTGTTGACCCTAATGATATTCAGATAAATTTATCTTTTAACCTTTTTTCTTCTCTTCATTCCTTTATTTTTCTTTCATATCTTATCTAAACTCTGAAGACACCATCATTAATTGTATGTGCACTCAAATGTCACACATTAATGCTTTGACACATTAATGCTTTGACATAGGGAAGACAATTACACTTGGGTAAACTTATATACATTTTAACATTAAAATATGTGATTGTAACTATTTTATTTTAACACCTTATTGGTACAAAATATCTATCGGTTTTGCTAATAGCTAAATCTATGCCAAAAAAAAATCTTTTTACTCACTTTTAGTGGAATATCTCATTTCAACTATGTTTTTGTTTATTATTTATAATACATAAATTAAGATGTTATTTAAGAGATGAAGCTGAGTTTCACAGCAACACGGTGTTGTTGGATGATTGTGACTAATTTAGAGAGAGATATAAATGATATTGAAAATGAATGGGTAGTGTGAGAGAGTGATTAAAATGGGGGCAGAAGTGACATAAGAGGTGGGGTAAGGAAAGAGATGAGAAGATTTACCTGTCTGGCAGAGGGTTTTCTATAAGTGAGCATATGGGCTAGGGCAGGGATGATGTAGACAGTGAAGCTAACGAGGAGAGAGCCAACAGCTGAATTAATGGGCCCAAAGAAAGGAAATATTATAGCCAAAAACCATATTGGTATCACCACTGGCAACCGTGCAAGTGCCCTCAAACAAATGCTCTTTGTGTCGTGCATTCCAATCACCTTCTCCCACACGAAGTACAACGGAGTACACGCAAACCCAAACGTTATGAACTGCATTCATATTTACACACATTACATTTTCTGTCACTCACTAATACAAGTTTATCCACCACATGCATGCCATTGTGTTCAACAAAACTCTTCATCTCTTTTTTTATATATAGGAAATTCCAATTATTCAACGAATTATCCATTTCTTTTGAATGGTAGATTAATGGATTTTGCCGTTAGCTATTATTGTGCTGAACAATAACACTTATCATTGCATTAGACAAGATAAAGAAGGGGAAATGGCAACAGGGTTAAAGCTATAACAGTTTATAACGGGTGAGAAAGGATCCGGTTGGGTCCAGTTCGTCTTTGGACAACTTAGATTGAGATTTTGTCAAAGTCATTTATTTGAATCCAATTCAATCAAAATCCAAAATATGAGATGAGACTAAGTCAACCCAATATTTTAACATAATATGTTAATATTAATATTAATATTATGTATAGTTAAATTATAAAATAAAAGAAATATAAAAATTAAGATATATTTACAATATATTTTTTAAAATAAATAATATCATTGTAAATATAATATCATGTTATACAAATAAGATAAAATAGTATTATTATTAATAAATTGTTCAAAATGAAATTATAATTTTTAGAAGAATGTGTGACATTAAATCTAATCGGGACGACATGAAAAATTACCCAAATCCATCCTAAAAGAACAATGCATTACATTTAATTCTCTTCCAGCCGCACCGGGTTAGTGAGACTGACCGAGTCTTACTCACTCCTAATTTATAACATTTTTCTTTTGATTTAAATCTAGACAATATTTGTTTACTTTTCAAAAGTTTTCTCAAGAAGTGAAATAAACATATAATATATTATCTTAAATAAATTGAACTACCTAGGCCCACAGTAAAGTGAAGTATATAATGAATGGTTGTTATATTGATATATCTACGTAAAAGTAATGTTGATTAATGTGATTCTTTTTTATCATAAATTAAGATATGAAATTAATAATAGAAATATATGAACTTGAAGGCGCTATTCTTAAAATCAGAAAAAGAAAAAAAAAAGGTTAGAATAATATTTTTATATATTTAGTTTTACAATTAAGAGAAATCACAAGAGAAAAATTAGAAGTATGAAACAAAACAAATGATATTAAAATAATTATGAAAAATAATAGCTCATAAAAGTACGCACTTCGGTCTACAGAATCCTTAAATATGTTTTACTGGTCAAGCACTACTTAAAATATCTTGCAGTATTATTTAATAATGTATTGACGTATTCTTAAAATATACACTTAATAATAAGTAGTTACTGTTTTTTTATATATACAATAATAAATTTTTGTTATAGATATTATGTAAGGCTTTTTGGTTTTTGTATTTAATTTTAAATAGTGGCAGTAATAGTCTTATTGACTGTCCATGATGATAGTGAATTTTTTTATCTTGTTTTAAGGAGAGACGATAGTTTTTTATTCTATAGATAGTTAGGAATTATTTTTTCTAAAAGCTATTATAATGTTTAATAAATATATTTAAATTTCGTAAAGGTAAATTAGGGTACGGATAAAAAGGGATATTAAGGTAATAGTAAGAAAATCATATTAAAATTATTATGATAATATGTCAAAAGTAAAGTCAAATTTTAGTACTTTTAATATGTCCAAACCCAACTCAAAAGTTAGCATTAGTGGTCACTTATTTTCAGTTCGGTTGTTTTGTTTTGTTTGATATTTTCTAAAATAAACATAATAACTCTTTACGACATGACTTTACCACTTTTTTATCCAAAGAAAAAAAAAGGCATACACGTAGCTTACCTGGTGAATGAGCATGAGGATAACGGCGGCGTCACGGAAGCCAGACTTGGGGAGGAGAGCGAAGGCGTTGGAGTGGTTAAGCAGCATATCACCGAAAGCCCAATAAACGGCGACTGCTGACGGAACCGTTAGCGTAAAAACGTACAAAGTGGCCAGCAAGTAGATGTACTTGAACTTTTGGGGCTTCCACATGGCATGCATAATCTCTCTGCAACATTTGTCACCATTATCACTTTATGCACAAAAGATCTAGGAACATTAAACCACAATAAAATCATCATTGAATTTTCTATAAATGAAGTGGGTTATTAATATTACATCTAATATATTTTCAATTATTGGTAAATAGTTATTAAAAGTCTTAAAATAAAAATTATAAAAATTATGGGATACTATTAAGAGCTATTAAGGTTTTTGACTTCGTTGTACTTTGTTCGCGAACTTGTAAATTAACTACAGCTGGAACTTTTGTGCAGATAAGAAGTTAGGAACCAACCACCCAATGAAACTTTAATTTTTCATTATTCCAAGTTTAATTAATTTAGAAAGGACGTCCAGACAGAAAATAGAAATAATGGTCATTGAAGAGTGGATTTTTCCTAGAAATAAGGAGTTAATACTATTTTTGAAGCCAAAAAAAGTAACACAAGAGAAAGCAGTTTTTGCATGATTTTTGTTTTTGGCCATAGATCTCGAAATCCGAGATAACCGGCAAAAGCTGCAAAGAGAAGCCGTGTGGAAAAACAGAAGAAAACGAGTGAAAGATCATGATGGTGCTAAGGAAAAGGTGAACTTACACAGTCACAGCATGTCCTCCAAACGTGTATAGTATGTTAGTGGCTCCAGTGAAGTATAGCACTAGCTTTGTTGGACCCGAGTGCGTCACATTTTCTACCTATAAACATGATTCGAAAGAACTTGACCAATTGTTTCGTTGTTTCAATTCAAAGGGTATAATAAGATAACATAAAAGGTGTGGCTATAGACAAGTGGTTTAATTATCACCTGGCCATGAAGGATGGCTGCAATAGCAAGGTACCAAGCCGTGTAAGTGGTCATTCCAAGACCCAAAAATGACCAGATTCGGTAGTTGTGGAAGGATGGTATGAACACAGTGGTGGCACAGCAAGCTCCAAAAATATAAGTCCAAGTCCGTTTATCCAATTTGTCATTTATGTAATAGATGTTACTGTTTGCATCAAGGAAGCAACAAAAATTGTTTGAATCAGATGAAAGTCCAATTGAGGTTACTTCAAGTTGCCTTAAAAATCGAAGCAAAGGTCTTACCTTGCACATGCTATAAGCTGAATCACAGATCCAAAGAGGAGGAAAGTACAGTTGAAGGCTAGCCCCACTGCTTTCCAATATGGACCAAGTAACCCATCAAGGACTTCAAACCACTGAAATCCACAGCAGTGCAATTAAATTTGGTCACTGGTGGTGATAAAAAAAGGAGTCTTGTGAAGGAAAACACAACACAAAGACCAACCTGAATGACATGATTCTTGAAGCTGACGTTTTCCTTTTCCTTCCTGGTGCGGTACTCTATGTAGAGAACACTGATCAGATACGCAGTCCAGCTTCCCATGATTCCATAGAACACCTGAAACAAGATGCCTGAAAGCATGCCAAGTTGAGAAAAGGAGTATGGCAGTGTCAAGAGTACTTGAGCCACCTACACAAAAAGGGGAATTTCAGTGTTGAAACATGGACTAAAAAGACTAAGGTGGTTACTTTATGATGCTCTTTTTCTTGTTTTCATTCTTTGTTGGGAATTTAATTACTTGATTTGAAGCACAGCTGAACCATGCATCCCAAACAGAACCACCATGCCAAAGGATGCTCTTGAGGCTGAACAAGGATTGGTCTTGCCCCCTCTCTTCTTCCCTTGTGCTGCCAACTTCATGTTCTGTCTCGTTGAGGTTTGTGACTATTGCTTCCTCTGCTTGCTTCTGAGGCAACATTGTCTCCGTTACCCACAAAAGAAGTGTCTAAATCCTGGTGGATCTAAAATACATAAAAAGGACACTAAATGAGACAAAAACCATGATATAAAACGCAGCCCCAGAAAACGAAAGCCAAGAAAGACCCCAGATCCAGATAACTGAAAATTCCTTTGCAGAATTCCAAATAAAAAATAATAACAAAAATAGAACTTCAGTTCCCCCCCACCCCCAAAACAAATCCAAAAGAAAAGAGATGTGGGGATCAGAGAAAAGAAGAAAATTAAAAAAAAAATTGATAAGTGGGCACAGAGTCTTTCTTTACATAAGTTTTACTAAGAGAGCCAAAGCTGAAGAAAATCCAATCCTAAATCTGATACTAATACTAATAATAATCGCTTTATTTTTCTAGTCACCTTGGTCGAGATGTCTCTTTCTACTAAAGCTTGAAGGAAGAAAATTCAGATGAGAGATGCTCCTTTTTTTATGTTATTTTTTCCTACTTTTTTCTTTCTTAGTACACTGGCAGCGATGGGGTAGTGATGACTAAGAATCCCTTGTTCATAGATTGTGGCAGAGAAAACTTTAATAAATGCAAGGAAATTTCGAGCTTCGGTATCTGACTATACCCTGTGGAGCTTGAAAAATGAAAAACTGAGCACAATAATAGCCACCGCTTTAAAGCCGCCACCAATTGACACACAAAAAAATGCAAAGCGAAATCCCCCAGAGAGAACAGAAAACTCTGCAGGGTTACAAAGTTGGTGGTTTTTGTATTTTGGCTTCAGAGACTCTGATAAAATGAACTATATAAAAGACCCTTTTCGTAACTATTCAATCAGATATATATAAATGGAAGGGGGGTGCTTTTGTTTTTATAATATATAGCCAAAAGAAAAGTAGACCGTGAAAGTGTGAAGCAACCAAGCAAGTACTGTGTAATAATGCTCGTGTTGCTTTTTGTGGCTATCTTTTTTTCTCTTTGTAAACTCAACGGAGAAAGGTGGAGATGAGAGGGATGAAAACTCAATTCACCGATTGTTCCAAATTCTGATTCGATTCTTGGTGGTGATGAATGATGACACAGAATTTCGAAAATCAAAGGGACTGAGACGTTGTTCTAATCAGTAAGAATTGGAGTCACTGAATCAAAAGCAGCTTCAACGGCTAAGATAATAAATTAATATTCAAATTATTAATAATTAAAAAATTATACCCCACTTGATCTTCTTGTTTTAGATTTCATTTCTTGGTTTTTTTATACTCTTCCATATACAACTTACTTTGCTTATGTTAGCAAAATGGAGAGAGGAGAGAAACATCACATGTAAAGCCACTAATTCTCGATAAGCATTGTATAAAAAATTCAGGATATTTAAAAGTGTTTATTCCAACTTATAGGAAGTAATACATGAACTTGTTATAAAATAAATAAATAAAAATTAATTTATGTAGATTAAAGATAAAGTAATGTTTTTGTTGACAAAATAGTTGTTTTGAAAGGAAAAGATACCTAAGCTTGTAACATAAAGTTGAGACTGCTAATTAATACGAATGTAACAGGAGAAACTTGATGTTTACTCGGCATATATCTAGCTTTTGAGATAAAAATAAATAAATGCGATGTCATGTGCACCATTTGAAGCTGGATCGTATTTAAAATTTTAAACTATATGTACGTTGCAATTTTGATAAAATATTTAACCTTAAAATGAACTTTTAAAACATCAATTTAACCCATAAATTGTTGGTATGAGTGATGAAAAACGTAGTCAAGAAAAAAATTGTTGAGTAATTAGTCAGGTTTTTTTAACTAATAGTAATTATCAACAAAATTGATAGAAATTTTATATAAATTTTTATAAATTAGAAAGAAAAAAAAAACTTCAATTTGACTCCTCTGCCTCCCAATTTAACCGTAGTTGAATTTAACATGCTGCTTAGTTGTCCGTCTATGCTCCCAATCCTCAGATCCAAATCTCAGTGAATAATTAAATTATTTGAGGAATTGAAAATCCGAATTAAGTATTTGCCATTATTTAAAATTTGTTAATTTACATCGAGAAAGGTATTATGAATATGAGTATATATATTTAATTGATGGTGAATTTAATCATGAAGTTGGGTGTGTTCCCTAATCGATTGCAAGACAGTGACTCCATTGTCCGCATGCTGCGCGTGGCGCACACTTGCCATGGAAAATAATTCATGTGCCATAATTTATGAGCGAATGCGATCACGCTCGTAGTCAGCTGGTGTCCCCAAACGATCCCATCAACTGATTTATTATATTATACTTTTGCTTTTCTATTATTCATTTTTTATACTACTATATGACAATATTTGTATTAAATACTATGCCTAAAAGATATTATAAATCACTACCACCCAAAGTATATAGATCAAATCACATTTTCTACTGCCACGAGTTACGAAAACACAATGTTTGAAGCTATATTAGATTATCTCCCTTAAAAAACACACTATATGTAAACCATAGTATTAGAAACAGATGAAATATTTTACAACCTACGCACAAGTATATATGGGATAGTAAAAATCAATGATAATGATTAATAATTGCTTCGATGCAGTAATTTTCTAAAAATTGAAAATTTCAAAATGAAATCTACGGTGTATCAAAGGAAGCAGATACAGCAATGGATGTCAAGCTCTAACAGTGACAATTAGGAATGGCAAATAAATTGTTTTTTTTTTAATATCTAAACTCGTTCTAATTTTGATGAAAAATACTTGATTTGATTAGATACGTGTACGAGTAAAGGTAAAGTTTGATTTATTAAATTGGGTACAGGTACGAGTATATATGTTGTCTCTGTACTTATCTTCATTCTCATTTCCGGTTTAATACTCATCTTTGATTTAATTGTGTTAAAGAATTTTAATATTTTATTATATGTAATTATTTATTATAATATAAAATATTTATAGTTGTTTAATTATTAAGAAGTCTCTTAATTAAAATATGAGATAAAGAAATAACTTAATTATAATTATAATTATAATATAATAGAAAAATAATTGAAAAATATTATATATATTTTTTTACAAAAAAAAAAAAATTTGACGGGTAGGGGTATACTCAATACCTGACGAGGATGGGGATGAGGATGAAAACTATATACCGACGGGTACGGGTACGAGG